GGGAGAGAGAGAGAGCGACCGGTGGCGGTTCGCCAATTAATCACTTTCTGACAAATTGCCGAACCGGTCGTTTTGCTCGTAACATCGGAAGCGCCGGCCGGGCTGTGCCGTGTTCTTGCCGGCCGCCTTCCTCCGCGAAACGGCGCCTTCCTTCGTGTGGATTACGCAAGAAGTATCCCGCGGGATCTGCGAAGGCGGCGGAAGGGCAGAAACCGAGGAAACAGGGGATTACGGTGTTTATTAGAGGCTCTCGTCGGTGAAGTTAATGGAAGCTTGCTTGGCCTGTTTCCATTTTCCACGCTGCCGGAAGGATATCCCCCGCTTATTTTCTACTTGAATTAAGAGTTAATATCGAATATCGAGAAATTATAATGAGGGATTATACGGTGCAATATTTTACGGCGGTGTATTTTGTAAACTTAATGGTTATGTATATTAAACGAATTATTTACAGAAAACGACATTTAATTATTGCAGTAATCTTAAACGTTGATTGTATCTTTGCTATTTGTGAATGATGGGTATATCTCGATGATTTTTTTTTTTTCGATAAATAAGGTCGTAGCTTTTATTTTTTACAAGTTTGTTATTTTGTAATAATAGCAGAAGTCTGGAATCTTAAATAAATATTCAACTTGTATATTTTGTGGCAGTGTATTTTGTAAACTTAAACGGTTGTATATTGAACAAATTATTTAAAAACAAGAGTATTTAATTTTTGCAGTGATTTTAAAAACATTAATTACATTTATGAATGGGTATATATGTTGGTGGTTTTTTTTTAATAAACAAAGTCATAATTTTTCAAACTTGATTAGACAGTTTTTTATTTCCTACCGAGTTTGTTATCTTGTAATAACCAAAGAAGTGAAAAATATTGAATAAATATAAAATTTAATTTATATTATTATTTTTTTTCTAAGGTACACAATTATTGATAAAATAACAGCCGCGCGATAAAGACGATTGTACAATATTGTTCTTCTTGCTCGATATAAATTCTCGTATATATATATATATACACAAATAAATCGCGTAATACAATATCGCGAGCTTAAATTTCACCAGTTCAACTTCACCTCTTCAACTTTCTGCAAATTGTCGAGAGCAGCTCGCGCAACTTTCGCTCGAAACGGAAACGTCATGAGAAGACTACAGAGGCATCGCAAAGACGACGGCTACGTGAAAGAACACTCGAGCGGAATCTAGCGCTATTCGAAAAACGAAATCTCCCCGGCGAGTCCTCGCCGCATCAAGTCGTCGGGATGGGGCTTCAAGTTCCATGACGTACGAGAGAGAGTACCGTTAAAACGGAGAGGAGTAAAGTGCGATTTTCGTCGCAGTTCACCGGAGAAAAAGCACAGAGGAGGTGCTTTTCCGCAGCGATATATTCCATCCGTGTCGTATTTTCTCGGCGGCGCACGCGGTTACGATCAAACTTTTCTCGTTTCGCGCCGAGTCGGAGAGAGTTTGGAAGGCGGCAGTCGTCGACTTGATTTCGCATACTGGCGCCGATATTACGTCGGGAAGATGTACAGAGTATAATTAATGAAGTGCGACCTGAGAAAAGACGCGCGAACGCCGGATGGAATTTTTTTAATAACGCGGATGGGACACGCGAAAATTCGGGCACTCGCCCGGAGGAAAAAAATATCGCGCGAGGAGAGGATGCGCGTTTCGTTGCGATAAAGTGAGGTTCGCGAGGTTCGCTCTAGCGAATTGTCGCTGAGGGTGGCGTGCATGCGTTGACGTTTCCCCGACGTTGAGGGAAGCTGGCGGAAAAAAATATAATGCCGTCGCGGACGCCGTCCCGCCTTGCGAATTAATTTTTAATTAATGCGCGCGGACAAGGCCGACGCGATATTCTCGCATGCGAAATGCGCTGCTCGTTTTTCCGGGTTGTTATAATCATTGCGTTTCTTCCCTTGACGGAATTTCCATGAGGTGCGCATCCCGTTAACGACTCTTCTGATATCGTCCCGCCAAGATTTATGATTGCGACTCGCAAGGAGCATCTAACCGATACGGCGACGCTAACGATAATTGTACGAGACGTGGAAAAATATGGCAGTTTATCATAACAAGGAGGCGCAGTTGGACGAGGAAAAAGCGCTTCGTATAAAATGTACACTCTCCGCCGTCGGGAAATGTCCCATCGCACTTTTACCACCGGAAAATGTCGCGAAAACGTCGCCATCTCGTTGCCATTTCCACGCGCAGAACAAACAGTCGGTGTATGAATAACACACCGTCAAGTGTGTGCTCTCAAGAGGTTGGAATTAATAAGAATATTCTCCCTCGCGATGTTGACAAAATGAAAGTTACCCAACGGAATCGTTGAACGCTTCTAAATAGGCGAGGTACCGCGGCAGGCGTCGTTACGTCGAAACGATTTACGTTCCACAAAAGAGAAAAGAAAGCGTGTGAACGAGCGGACGTCTTCACGCTACGCGTGTTACGTATCGCGTCGGTATCGAAAAAGCTCGTAATTCTCGAGATAAATCGTCGGAATACGTTTGGCGTCGATTCGAACTGCTCGAAGAACGGGAGAGCCGCTCGACTTGGACTTGTAATAAAAAAATGGAAAAGCGCGTTATTCGGCCTACGAGTTGTAAAGTATCTGAAAGACGTGTCTGCAATAAAGCGGCCAAAACGCGGGGCGTCCGACAAACCGGAAATTGAGCGTACGCCGTTCGCGGAGCGATCATCCCTTCGTGGCAACATGGTGTCCATCCCTCTGTACGGCAGACAACACGTAGGCCATCGTTCTCGCCTCTCGCGTAATTCCCATCCGAGCGTAGTATCGCCTTCAACGTCGACGAGGGTGGCAGCGGCAGCGGTGGTGATGGCGATGGTGCTGGTGGTGGTGATGGCAATGGTACTAGTGATGGTGATGGTGGTGGTGGTAGTGGTGGTGAAGATGCCTGCCTGCCTGACTTTGCAGCATCACGTCACCCGTACACGAAACAACGCCGTTCTCATCTCGCTTGATGGATGTGGCGTGCATCGTCTGCCTGGTCGTGGCTGGCTGCTTCCGGAAGCGGGAGAGCGTTTCTCTTGCCCGCCTCTCTCTCTCTTTCTCTCTCTCTCTCTTCCTTCGTCTCTCTCCATCTCCCTCTCGCTTCACGTCCAGACAACGAGCCGCTTCTATCCGCGCGTGAGAAATCGAGGCGAATGAAATTTCACGGTGGCCGGAATGAGCTCTGACTTCCCTCCGCCTCCCTCCGTTTTCGGGGAAATTACTGTCCGACAGAGTTTTGGACCCCTCTCGGCTAGCACGACGAGAAAAAAATTTGCCAGCTGGATTGATGGCAACGGTCTAATTGTCCCGGTCCGAGACGAGATTTTAGAGTGTCGGAATCCGCCTGTTTGCGATCAACAAGAGCGGCCCGTGCCTCGCATGAAACATGCGTTCGTTTCCGATGTATCCGGAATTCCGCACAGGATACATTCATACGGATGTGTATCCGAATAAGAAAAGCCAAAATTATCGAAATTAATGGTCCATTAAGTTTGCGCAAATAATAATTCAGGTTTCTCCGTTCCTTTTTCTCGCCTTTCATCGCGCAGTTGTTTACGACGTTGATTACTTGCGTTCGCCACGCAAGAAAATTTATTATCGCTCAAACTTGCTTAATCAAACTGCACTTATCGCCATTCGCGCTCTAAACATTCCGCGTTAAATCACGCGGAAAATTGCGAGGAATCGCCGCGAGGGCAGGAGGACTCATTGTTCCCCGCGACTCAATTCGAGACGAGGCAAAGGGAGAAAAGCCGGAGCACGATTGATCGGCACCTTGGTGGCACAAATAATTGGTGATTTACGACGTTTCACGGGTCGGCGTCCTGATGAATTATGCATTCGGAAGCGTGTGTCATTGTTCATCGGTCATCATGCACGGTAACGATCGGGGAGTTAGGTGGGATTGCAGCAGCCACTCTCTCTCTCTGCTCCGGCTCCGAACGGTTATAATTATTATACGGCGTTCTATCAATTCCGGTTATCGGCGTAGCTCGAAGGAGAGATAGCTGTGCCCGCTCTTGCCGTGTGTGTGTGTGTGTGTGTGTGTGTGTGTGTGTGTGTGTGTGTGTGTGTGTGTGTGTGTGTGTGTGTGTGTGTGTGTGTGTGTGTGTGTGTGTGTGTGTGTGTGTGTGTGTGTGTGTGTGTGTGTGCTCCCGCGGCTTTCAGCATACGTACAGACGGCCGAATAGAATTTGGGGATCCGGCAAGCGTTCGGCTTCTGTGCCAATATTGACGCGCCGTGGAGGGATGCGATTGCGCTCGCCCTCTACCCATGCACCCTCTGCGGCTTCTCTTCGGACACGAGTCCGCGGAATTGAATTTTGGTGATATAATTATCGAATGCTGTGTAACTAACCGATCTGTATCCAGCGCGCGCGACAGCGCCGAACGGAAGCCTGCATTCTCACCGGGCGGTTAGGGAGTGGATAAATAGTTGTGCCACGCTGGCCGAAAGCTGTTACAAATTTCATCCCCGATATTGCTTCATGCAACATACCGTGTATATCCTTTTACTTTTACATCTCGGTTGACTCAGTCGCATGACATGAACGGCGCAATCGCATTAGCTATTTAAAGGTAGGCTGAAATGAGAGACCGTGCTCACTTCATCTATACGTCACGTTCACCCTCGAAAAGAATTATATAAATCCGACGGATTGTTTTATTACATGATTGATTGAATTTGCTCGAAATTGCTTAATCACATTAGATTCAACTGTCAATCCGAGAAACGCTAATGAATAACGCTTGTTCTTAAACTGCCTAAAAAAAGAGCTAATTAAGGAATAAAGAAATAACGATAAGTATATAAGAAAATTCGGAAAAGCTGACGACTCGAAAGTCTTTTGTTAACGAACCGTGACGATAATTTAGTCCGCATGACGATAACTATTTCCGAATCCCGCCAACCACTTCGTCCCTTATGGCTTTCATCTTTCCACAAATATTCGTATAAGAAAATCCAAAGAGGTATATACAACTGATCTAATTTAAACTCCCGGTTATTTCTGCAGAAGCTTTTTGTGCGCGCGGCATTTTAAGTTACATACGTTACACACTCCTGCGTCATTATTGCGAAGCTCTTGGCCGAAAGTGTTGCCCAACGAGCTTACGTAAAGATCACCGCCAGTCGTGTAAACTCTTTGCCTTTGTGCTTTTTATGCGCGGCGCCGCCGTCGCATTCTCACGTTCTGGAAAAGGGCGTCTTTCCTCCGCGCGATCCCTTTGAAAGCACTCGAGAAGGGTTACGACCGCAGCTTGAAAAGCTGCAGGCGACATAAAGAAAAGGCGGCCCCATTTCTCACGTGGCGCGACAACGACGATGGCAACGGCGGACCTCCTCGCTGTCATAGACGACGAGCCTTTTCGAATTTTTCGCACGCGCGACGACACACATACGTAAGGACGTTTGACGCGCATTTAGAAAGATCGAAGGTTTGTCACAATCGAAATACCGATTTCGATTCAATTGCAATTCGATCGGCAATTTGTCCGATCTTGCTGGCGTTGAATAAATTCGAAGGTACCTTTGGTATCGATCTCGCGGACTCTTCCCGTTATCGTTTCGTCGTGTGTTGTGTACGAAACGATATGATAACACGTCGCATATCTATTTATCTCCGAAATCACACCTATATTTTTCTACGATTTTTCAACGTTCACATTGTATACGCTTTTTTGTTTATCGGCCATTTGAAATTCGGCCGATCGATCCTTGCTCTGTGTGTTTTCCCAGACTTCTCCCTCCCGTGCGAAGCGTAGCCGGTTGAATGTCAGGTTGAATAATTTACAGGTGGAAAAAAAATTGTACACGTATTGCGATATATAGAATTCTTACGCGCGGCAAAGTTTAAAATACTTCACTACTTTTATTACTTTAATACTTTTCTACAACAATAAAAATATCGATTTCGCTCCTCGTAGACTTTGGAGCGGAGGAATTCACGGTATCCGCTTTACAAGAGCCGCCGAAGCAAATGCGTTTTATTCGAGCTATTTGAACACGCGGAACACGCGAAAAGAAGGAAAAGAACACGGAAACGCGTTCGCATTATTCTATTTTGCAAGACGACACGAAAAGAGAGCAGTATTTATCTTCCCGTTCGCTCCCGCGAAGCTTTTATTCGGAGATCAGATCGAACAAACATTCGCCGGAAGCGGACTCGAGAGGAGATTCTAGACGGTAGTTTCGACGGTTCGGGATGGGTAGAGAGGAGGGCGGGGGTGAGAGGGAGGGAGAGGCGGCATATCTTAAATCAACTAGATCGTGAAGCAGAAAGCCGGTTAGCTGATCCTCATCGCCGTTTTCCGCCGCCTCCGCGCGCTGATTCCGAATCGATATAAAATCGACTTTTAGATTACACGGTTTTCGGAATCGGAATCAGGCGGCATCTCGTTACATCTGCCGCGAAGGGAAGTGGATTTATTTCCCACGCTGTTGAACAGATACCGACGAGTGCGCGGCAAACACTCCTCCTGATTTGGAAACAGACGCGTCGTCGAGTCGTCGTCCGCTCGGTAAACCGGAGAAATCTGATTTGGCTTTACGTTTGATTGCATTTAATTTGCCACGTCGGCTTCGAGTGTCGGCTCTGAAATTATTGTCGGCGAATTGATAAAAAAAGAATCGATGAGAGACGCTTAAAGGTATACCAGTCAGCGCACAATTGCGCGATACAAAATTATATAAACTTTCATATCTTTTCCACATCCATAACGCGTAACGTGTGTTCAAAACAGGGAGATTAGTTAAAGAAGAAAAAGATACAGTCTCCATGCGCTATTATTGCGAACGGGTAAAGGGCTCAAATACTCGCGTTCGATCCTCCTCATCGATTTAACGCGGCGTGTAAAAAAGACACTTTCACGCCGAGTAATTCGATTACGAGTCACGAGTCACTCGATTAGATCCGAGACGGATCGATTTCCCGTTATTCAAGTCGAGCAATCTTAGGCCTCCTTTACGGCAAAGAGAACGCAAAGAAAAAGAGAAACATGAAGAAACTCTCCAACTCTCCGGAGAATCGGAGGGCAGCCGCGGGGAGATTGTTTTTACGGTGAAGTTTCCTTTATTGGGAATCGGTCTCCGCTCTTTTTCATTCTTCGTCTCTCTCTGTCTCTCTGTCTCTCCCCCCCCTCCACTTTGCGAGCAACCTCCAGCCTTCCCCTAGACCTTTTGCCTCTTACCCTTTCTTCGTTTCTCGTCGAGCTCCATCTTGGGGATTCATTAGACCGTGAGCAACCTCCGTTCATTACTGGAAATCTCCTTCTTTTCTCCTTCTTCTTTCTCTTCTCCTTTTTCCACATTTCCTACCCTTGCCGCCTTTGCGTTGTTTTTATCTATCCGTAGTTCTTTTTTTTTTACTCTTTTTTTTTGCTCGTTGTCTTTTTTTCACATTTGCCGGCGCGCTGAACACAAAAGGAAGCGATATCTCAGTTCCTTCTCCCTCTCAGAGCCGAAGCGGATAGAATTCGTTTTATCCAGTCCACGGGATAGAAATAGGAGACTTGTAGGGAAAGGTGAATGAAATTAAAATATGGATGGAAACCACGACTGATGATCTTTCACGACGTACCAAAGTTCGTCCGAGAAAAGATGTAATAGATCTTGGAAATATATATAAATACAATTATTATTTAACATCGATGGAAATAAAAAGAGGCAAATAATTATTCAAATTGCGAGTGAATGCAATTATTAAAGTCTGCATAATTATTTCAATTGTCATCTAATATTGGACACAAATTTACGCTTAAATGATGAAAAATTACAATATAATTTCTAAACGCAGTTTATATCGTGGTGTCAAAGATTTTATATACACTTTTTTCTTCTTTTTTTTCTGGTTTCAATCATATCTAATTTTATCCAATTCCTACATCTTTTCCATCTTTTTTTCCATTTATTTGTTACGCCGCGTTACGCATCAAAATTAATTTCCATAATTTTCCGCGCCGCCTCTGCGAA